AAAGGGAAGAGAGGACCTGGAGGACAGGTGCTGAAGCTGCCAGTCATGCCACTCCTCAAGTCATTTTCCCCAGACGTCCTGGCCCTCCACTCTCTGCATGGCTCTCCATAGTGGCAGCTGGACAATAGTATCAGGCCCCATGGGCTAGATAGTGGGTGTAAGAAAGGGACTGCAGGGGAGTGTCCACAGCCATGCTTCAACAGCTGGGCAGCCCTTCCCTGGGTGCTCCTCCCCTGCCTTACTGCAGGCCCTCCCACACCTCAAAGTCCCCACGCACTGTGCCATCAGAAGCCCTACCCCTCAAACTTTGAGGGGGAAGACTGAGTTGGGTGGTGTGTTTCCAGGCTAATTTATACGCTGGAGGTCAAAAACTTCTTCAGTGTATTGCCCATGCAAAATGAATTGATCAAGCCTGGCTTGTTTTATAATTCAAACCCTGAATCAAAACCACATGTGAGTGAACTCATGGAACTATATGGGTGAAGTACCAGCTGCTGTATTGAACAACTCAGTGTGGCTATGTAAACTCGAAAAATATAAAAAATTGAGCCAGTTGAAAAAACAAAGCAAGGTGGATGGGATTGAAAATAAGGCATGTTGTCACACTGCACACTTTCACATATTTTTGCTTCAAACTGAGCTTCCTCTTCCTCTGTATTTAATTCTATAGTTGCTAACTGGACTACTGGAGAAAAATATATTGGGGAAAAGAGCTTGGGAAAGGGAAATGATAGAAGAGTCTGACTCAGGTGACCAGTGGAAACCCTCTGGCTTTCCTTAGGGCATGAGGCAGGGATAGCAGGCTGTCATGGAGGAGCGAACAACAGGCCAACAGTAAAGAGGATCACACCCACATGGAATCAATAAGAACAAGGAGCCAGCCAGGTTTCTGAGGCTCTGGGGCTGGTAAGGTTACCAAAGGATGGTATGGAAAAATCTACCCTGCCCCTTTGTTTCTCCTTCCCTTTCACTCCACATGAAAACACCCAAGGGAACATCCTCTATGAGAACAGATGGCCTAAGAAGCTTCATGGCAACATCTGCTTAAGAACATCAAAGGCTAATAGCATCCAGGTTTCAGAACAGAACAGTGGGGCAGAGGGGAATGGAAGGTGGTAGTCAGGAAGTAACTTCTTTCTCATGGCTGGCAATGCTGAGACAGAAAAGCAGCCTCAAGAAGTGTGAGGCAGTAGGAATCTGTCCAGCCCCTGCAAGCCCTGCACTTTTCAGTCTTGGGGGCCAGGTAGAGGAACAACTGAACAACCATTACCAAAGGTCTTCTAGGTCAAAGTAACTTCCTGAAGCTTGAAGGAAAAGACCATCACTTCTTCACATTACTTTCTATATCCTTTATCCCATTTGATTCCACACTGAAAAGAAATGATAACCCCTCTCCCCCAACCAAATATACCAAACATGACTGCAAGTCACTTTTCTATTATCAGACTTAGGACAAACTCTCAGAAACTAACTTTCCATTACAATTTTCTTCAGATTTGGCAACTAATTATCTGGCCTTACTTCTGATTTAACATCTACCCTTATATTCAATCTTATCTGTAAAATAACAGATTTTTTACATGGAGGGGTTTTTTAAAATACAGGTTTTTAACAGCGTAAGGTTCTCTGAGGCAACTGACATCACCTACCCCAGCAGAAACATCCCAGAAAGAGCAACCTGAGAACCAATGGCAAGGCCTGATCCTAACATACACGTTTAGTACATGTGTTTAGTACAAGGGATCTGAATATGCCCATTAATAGCTTAGCTCCCCTGCAGTTGTCCTACAAAAACCTAGATTTTGAAAAAGATGATTTAGAACAAACACCTGAACCAAGACTCTGAAACATTGAGCTTTATCCATTATAATTTGGAGTGGAATTTGCTTCACTATTATACAGGGAGTCTCAGACTGGTGAAAAAGTTCTACAAGGGAAAAACGGGTACCTAAACATAGCAGAAAAGTAAAGCAGGAGGGAAAAATCTTTAGCTCTAGCACCCTTTGCCTTTAAACTATGACTGTCATGACAAAGGCCACTTGTTCCAAGCAGCAGTATCCAGGGCCCAGTGAATGGTTCTGAGAGGTGGGAGAATGACAAGAATGTTTTTGAATAATCACCTGCAAACTGACTAATAGGCACATGATCAGTCAATCCTTAGCCCTGGAAATGAAGTGTGAATTAACTGTGGCGTATGTTCCCACCCCATGGTTGTGTTCATTCTAATCCTCCCTTCTCCCATTGGTAGCTGAAGAGGACTGTATAGATGACTTTGGTAACCTCAGTTTCCACGTGATATTGAGGACTCCAAAGACACATGACCCTCCTGTGACAGAACCTGTTTTAGTTATATTTTGCACTGGGTGCAAAAGAACTTGTTAAGCACAATGAAAGCAAATCCTCTGCAAAGGCACCACAAGGGCAAACAAGAGGCAGGGGAACCCAAGCTTCAGGGCTCCAGAAGCCAATCAACTGAAGAAGCATCTGGCTAAAAGGCTGGAGGTTCAGACTTTCGGTCAGAGGCTGGCTCCATTTCCTGACGGAATGAAAGGGCTCTTTCCACAAATAGGGCACTTACTCCCTCAGTAGTCTCTAATTTGAGTGGTGGGTGCTAGGAAGTAGTGCAGGGCTTTCTTCCTTCATCTTCACTTTAGGAGTTTGTGGGGGAGGTGCCACCAAGAAACCAAACTCCTTTCCTGAGGCTTCTCTTTCCCCTCCAATCAAGAGCTACTCAGAAGATGGTGGGAGGGCAGGTCAATGGGAGAGACAATGCTTTCTTAACGAATTTCATGCTTTTCATGATCCTGATGACCCTCAGATTAAAGACTACATAAATGAATGGGCTAAATAACCCTTTAGCAGAAAGTGCTTCCATTCCAAATCTGGAAGACTTAACAGTCCCAATTTAAGGTGAAATAAATATTTTATTAAGGCATTAGCTTGGGGATTTGATGAGCTTAGCCTTGGTCTAACTAATCTCCTTTTATCTGGTTCTGAGGGTGGGAGGAGGTGAAGGAATATGAAATACAACCTGGTGATGCTTTTTGCTCAGAAACATTCATATAGCTCTCGCAGGTAATTTCAACTGCTCTCTCACTGCAGCTCCCTTCAGCTTCAGTGCCATCTTCTCACAGCTCAACAGGTCTGTTCCTCTTCCCCAGTGAAGAATCACTTGCCATCCAGGACACTTGGGTCTCTCCCACTGGAGAAAATAAGAATGGCCTTGGAGGTGATTAGGGCACTTTGCTAAGTGTCACAGGAAATTGAATATCGACCTTCCCCCAGGCATAGGGATCAAGTATAGGGACTGAGATCCTTTCTTGAATGACCAAAACCTCATCCATGGAACTAGATTAACCAAGGGTGCCCACAGTAGAGGCTTTATGTCAAAATATTGTGACATGGCCAAACCTTGACCAACTGATTCAATACTTCAGGAAATAGCATAATCAGCAAGTTATGGCATTGATGCTCCACATCAGCTTCTCCGAGAGCAAAGATTTTGGGTGAAAAGAGGGCTAGAGTCATAGATCACTTTGTTCCCTTCTGAATCACTTTTTTTTTCAAAAGACTCATTGTAAAATAGGTATCCCAATACTCAACATAAATCAAATATAAAGAAAACAAAACCAGAACCAGGATAAGTGAACACTTTTCATAAAGTTCCAGAAGCATGTAGCTCCCCAAAATAAAAGAATGCCCTTATTTGATGATAAACAAAGTCACTTACAATTTTGGAATGTGTTATAATTCATTCTTAATTTTTGCACATTTACCTTTCCCAGTTTTTGTTCAGAAGGGCTGAAATTAATAACCAGATATGTCATCTATTGATGAAGAAATACTTTTACTGTTTGGCAAAATTGGTTCAAAATGAATAAATTACAGAAACTATTCTCTTCCTTTAAGACCTAATTACTATCCAGATCCAGCAGGCATTAGACATCCTACAGTTGAGGTATAATGCATAGAATTACTATACATATGAAACTGCTGTCAATGTCTCCTCTTGGCTTAACGATGCAGCTAATAATTTAGAAACAAAGAATAAGAACTATCATTGGGCAGCAAGGCACTTAAACTAAACTTTTGGCAGAGAGAGCAGTATAGATATGATATACACCCATGATCACAAACACAGATACTTTATTAGTTTCCTCTACAAGAGCTAATAACATCAATCTTTGTAACAGAAAGGTCAAGTCATTGGAGAAGCCAAAAGATCCGACGAAAGAAGATAAAAATTAAATACTTAAATTAATCAAAAGGCACTACAACACCACCTAGAACCTGCTACCATGGTGGTAGTGAGCTAAGGAAGATTAAGCTACAGCAAAATCATCTCATGTAAATGTTAAACAATACATAGCAAAAAGTTAGGTTTGCATTCCAGAAGACTATGGTAGAATGATGATTTGGGCCCGAGGGTATTTGGCCAGGAAAAGTGTCAAACCAAATGAAAAGAAACAGGTACAAAAGAGACTAAGCAACAGTTCCCTAGCAGAGGGTGATGTATCAAGCTTTTTTCCTCCCAAGAAGCTTCTGTTCAGTTACGTGCTGCCTTCCCTCAGGTCCCCACCTGAGAGCTGGATTCTGGGCTGCCTAGGGCTCTTGTTTTAATTTAGTATACACCTTAGAGAACATGTCACACATTACAGGCATAGGGGATTGAGCTGGCTTTGTTGCTAGTAGTTCTGAACCAACAAAACCCTGAAGCATTCAGATGAAAGTAGTTTGAGCTTCCCCAATCACATAAATGCCCCCACACAACACCCTTCAAAGTCTGAAATCCTGCAGCAGTTGAGCTATAGTGAAAGTTGCAAGGCTCACAAAATCAGAGAAGCCAGAGTAAGACAATGCAGGTAGGAAATCCAAGCAGTTAGTCTCCATCTGTCTTTCCCTAATTTTAGAGAAACATTAATATACCTGGCATGGGATATAGAAAGCTATTGGAGCAAGCTGAGTCTTCTGCTGAATTTTTCATTGAACACCAAGGGAAAACAAGGGTCGGGGTTCACTTTATTTTTTAAAAGCCTCAGAGGTTATTCTATTATAAAGGGACATGGCTAAACAGGTAGGAAACAGATTCCCCATTGTGAGTTCTCCTGATGGCTTCTGCAAGGATCATGGAGATGTCGATCACCTACAAAAACATGAAAAACACCAGGTTAGTATCATGTAGATAGAGATGACTGGCCAATTTGCAGATACTGATGAGTATCCTAATGAGAGTCCTCCCTCTTAAGATTGCTGCACTGTGTTGTTTCCCCTTGTGAGCCTGCACCCAGCTATTCTTCATAACATTTTTAATATAACCATGTAGGGCAGAGTTAAAATGCTTATTGAGGAAAATTTCTGACTCAGACTCATCAAGATGGTGGTGGGCTGACATTTAAATTATTTTTAGGAATGAATATTCAAGCTGAAGAAAAATCCCTTAAGAATAATATCAACCCCCCAATTCTACATATCTCAGAAAGCTAATGGATTATTGTATAGATGTTAAATTAAGCAAAGGCCTTCTCTTTTAGTGTAATAGCATTCAAACTTGAGAACTTAACAATTACTTGGAGAATTACTTGAAAGCACTGGTCCCAGTACCTCCAGTTTTGTAGGTCTTAGATGGATCAAAGGAAACTGCATTTTAACAAGAACCCTAGGTAATTAACTTAGTTTGATTCCAGAGCAACTCTGAGAAACACTGGAGTTCTAAGGAATAAACCATCAGTTTAAAGGCTTCACATTACATCTGGGAGAGCCAATAGTTAAGAGTGACATACAAACTATAAAACACAGACTTGCAAACTTGAGTGAGCATCATGGTCACTGGGAGAGCCAGTTAAAATGTAGACTCTTGGGGTCCATCCTTCAAAGATTCTGATGTCCAGGAATTTGTGTGTGTGTGTTTTTTAAATATTTTATTTATTTATTTTAGACAGAGGAGAAGGGAAGGAGAAAGACAGAAACATCAATGTGTTGTTGCCTCTCACATGCCCCCAACCAGTACCTGGCCTACAGCCCAGGCATGTGCCCTGACTGGGAATTGAACTGGTGACTCTCTGGTTCACAGGCTGGTGCTCAATCCACTAAGCCACACCAACCAGGGTGGAATCTGAGTTTTTAAGCACGGGATTTTTTATTCTTGGATCACAGATCCTGATGACACACTAAATCCTTGAGTCAAAAGAAAGAAACCTTCTAGTAAATTCACATATATAACCACCCCCTGAATACTTAGTGGAGTTTTGTTTTGCAAGAATCTCATCCTCACCTGTATTTTGGAGCAATGCTTCATCTTATCCTCCTGAGGTATGGTATTGGTGACCACTACTGCTTCAAAGCATGCATTGTTAATGCGAGAAATGGCCGGTCCAGAAAAGATTCCGTGAGTCAAGATAGCATAAACTCTAGTGGCTCCAGCTGAAAGAAGTCTATAGGAAAAAGCAGAGGTGATTTTGATTAATCTTACTTGTCACTGTAGTACCTGACTTAGGAAGAAGTGATTTATTAGTCAGCTTGGGTGCCATACCAGACTGGGTGGCTTGAACAGAATTTTATTTCTCATAGTTTTGGGGGCAGGGGCAGTGAAAAGTCTAAGATCAAGGTGGCAGCAAGGCAGGTTTCATTCTGAGGCCCATTCTCTTTAAGTTTATTGGTGGCTGCCACATCACTGAGTGTTCACACGACCTCTGACTACTTTGACCTCCACATGCATGGAGGAGGAGGGGGGAGCAAGCTCTCTGGTCTCTTATTATAAGAAGGGTACTAATCCACTCATAAAGACCTTAACCTCATGACTTCATATAAACCTAAATACCTCCCAAAGGTACCATCTCCAAATGCCATCACACTGAGGGGGTTAGGGTTTTAATGCAAAAATTTTAGGGGGCCACAATTCAGTCCTTATCAAGGGGAGAGAATAGGACTAAGAACTTATCTGAATAGGTCTGGATTCATATAAAAGAACTGTGGCAGAATGCTGCAATCAGCAAGATCCATTACTTCTTTCTGGGAACACAGATGGACTACATTTCCCAGCCTTGCATAGTTAGGTGTGGCCATGCAACTTTAATTCTGGCTATCAAAATATGGGTAGCTACAATGTATACCACTTCTTGGCTGAGCTCATAAAAATCTTCTATGGATAGCCCTGGCCAGGTGCTCAATTGGTTGGAGCATCATCCCATATAGCAAAAGCTTGCAGGTTCAATCCCTGGTCAGGGGGCATACAGGCGGCAACTGACTGATATTTTTCTCTGACATCAATGTTCTCTCTCTCTTTCTCTGTCTCTCAAATCAATAAAACATATCCTTGGGTGAGGATTGAAAAAAATCTTCCATGGGTGATCAATATTTCATGATCTTTTCCCTTTCTGGCTGGCCAAAATGGAAATGTATTTCAAAGTAATCTTGGAAGCTATATGTTAAAGATGCAGTGCCACATGACTGAAAAAGGAATACTCACATTGGACTATGCCATGAATGAGAAAGAAATTTTATCATGTTAAGCCACCAACATTTCAGGGAGTTGATCTATTACAGTAATTAGCCTTGCCTTACTAATACAAAGAGACAAAAAGAAGTTTATGAATATATACTCCAAGAGAAAAATCAGGACTCATCTAGCACACAAATATTTTAGCACCCATTATATGCCAAGGCCTGGGCAAGGCACACTCAGAGTTTAAAAAAAAAAGTTATGACATATAATGCTATCCATAGTGGCTTGGACTTTACGCAGTGAGAAGCCACTTAAGGTTTTAAAAGTGAGGAGTGGTAGGATCAAACCTTAGTTTTAGGAAGACTAGCAAATAGAAAGGCAATGTGAAAGATGGACTGGGGAAGTCAGAGACTGGTGACTGGTAGCAGGGTGAAGAGAAGGAAGGCAATTTAGAACAGGCAAGAGATGAGAAGTAATATGAATAAAGGTAGTAGAGCAGCTAAAATGGACAATCAAGAGGTAAGACTAGGGTTTCTGGCTTATGTAAAATATAAATGAGAATGTTATTTCTGCCTGCTCAGGCCTATGGATTTCCATTTTAACTCACTAAAACAAGCAAACAAAAAAAGAATCAAAAGTATTCAGAGCAATGGCAAAATTTTGGAAATACAGTGATAGTTGCACTATATATGATCTATGCACTACATACAAAATAGCCAGAACTATATTACACACACACATACACACACATCATATATATATATATATATATGAATGTAGCTAATACCACTGATTTTTATACTTAAAATGGCCAATGTTATGTTATATATAATTTAGCACAATAAAGAGAAAAAAACACTAAGGAAATTAGTGGGGGAGGGGGAAGACTATTCATCAAGTTATACATATTGAAATGCAAGCCTAAGGTGAGGAAAAACTCCCAAAGCTAGTTATCATCCCTCCACTCAGTTTCAGAAAGAATCAACAGGCTTAAGGCATTCACATAATAGTCAGATTTTCACTTCTAACCACAGGCCCTACCGCTTGGCACTCACTTGTCAGCTGCATGACAGATTGTGCCACAAGTGTCAGCCATGTCATCCACTAGAATGGCCACCCGATCCTTCACATCTCCCACCAGCACCATGCGGTCCACTTCATTGGCTTTCTTCCGTTCTTTGTGAATCAAGGCAAAGTCAACATTCAACCGGTCTGCGATAGAGGTAACTCTGCAAAACAGGGTATTGGCAGTTGAAACCTGGGTATGTCTGGCTCCTAAGACAAAAATAAATGGATGAAAGAATGGGCTTGTTTTCTGGGGGAGAATACTTGAAACTAAATAGTTCCCGAGGCTGGAAGAAGGCAATTATTTTAATGACATCACAAACTGGGTTTTATAAACTAATGTCTCTATATCCTGACAGTAGTTTATAAATGTATCAGTCAACCTTAAATGCATTCTGGATTACAGTAGGGGTTAGAGAGACATCCTTACCAGTTCCAGGAAGTGGTATAAAGCTAAGGCCCATTCATTTAATGGGTCAGCAGCAGAAGGGGAGAGAGAAGACTTGGTTGACTAATGGCAGGAGTGCAGACTGTCTCAATTTGATATGTGGACATGGTTAAGAAGTGAACCTGAACCTCGCTGAAGGATAGTGCTCAGCCTGTTCCAATTCCCATACCCTCATCACACTCCCCTCAGGGATGCACAAACTATCAATGTCAACTATACCTGGACACTAATCTTGGGAGTTCCTTTAACAACTCCTAGAAAGAAAGTTACATACTAATTAACCAGGCAAACTGGTCACCTTGCTGTACAAAGTACCTCTAAATCAAATCAAAACACGATTCTTTTTTTTTTTTTTGCAAGATAATAAAAAGCAGACTAAAACGTGGGATGGAAGACAAATCTGTCTGGTGACAAAGTGCCATATCATTCACTCAAATACAAATCCATTGAGTATAAATGACAGTGTGCTGTCCCAGTGGCAGTATATCCATGCTCCACTGTGGCATCTTTATCATAAGTGATGAGACCTGTGCTTTTATTTTCTTCTAATGTTCTGATCCCACCAGAGTATTATGCTCTGTTTCCCTTGTGACGATGGTCACATATCTGAGTTTGTGCTATATAGGGGAGAACCTGTAACCATATAATAGAGAACACACAAGGTTTGAACCACAGGCAATATTTGTACCCTCATCTAAATGAACCACGCCCTGTGTTCATTTTACTATTACTGCATGGGCACAGAACATCAAGAGTAATCAATCTGCTTAGAATGATTATTTATCTAAGGCAAATGCATGATTAATTAGTTCAAACTGTCCATACAAAATAGCCAATATACTCAGTGATTAATACAGCATAAAGGGCTAGAAAAAGTCATTCCCTATGCCTTTGGAGGGGAGAATCATGTGCAAGTTATAACTACACAGGGATCTCTCCCTCCTCCAAAAATCCTGCCAACACAGAAGTGACAGCCACTCACTTTGAAACCCCTCCTTCACTGTAATAAAATTACAAATAAAAACAAACATGTAGCAATAAATCATCTATTGATAATAAAAGCAGTTTTTCAACTTTGGAAAGGAAATCCTGCTTGATTATTTATTTCAAATGTGACTATTTTCTAAGTCCCATGGCAAGATGTGAAAACAATATACAATGAGTTAAGACAAGTATGACAACTACCATTAGGGAATATTTTTAGGTTCTATCTCTAGTATTCCAGAAGGTAACTGGTGATTACATGATCCTGAAAAAGCCATACATCTGGCTGAATAACAGAACTCAAGTTTTCAGCTTATCAGCGCTGTTGAAATAACTGAAATAAAGAACTTGTAGAGAAACAGTCATTGAAGATTTGAAGGCTATTACAGAGATCAGAATTAGCTTTTCCTAATCATCTGTGTTTTGTAGCTCTTCATATGAAGAGCTATGAAGCATGTGTCTCACTTTTGAATGCATTACTAATGAGTGACCCAGTAAGGAAATCAAAGTCTCTTAGTCGGAACCATGTGAGCTATAAAACACTACAACTGGCAGTCCCTGGAAGTTTGTTTAAAATGTTAAGGTCTTGAGTTTAAATAAAATTGCCATGCTTAATTTTCCTTCCTGCTAAATACTTTAATCCAAAGGATTAAAATGGTCTAACAAACAACAGCATTAAGAAGTGTATAAAAGATTACTTGTCCACCATTATTATGTGGTTTGACAGCAGGTGCCACTCATTTCAAAACCATATTTCCTTCCTTTTTTAACAGGCTTATCAGTGTTGCTAGCCCCAAGTGCCAAGTTACTAATGGGTTACAGTCAGGCCCACAACACCAGACTATTTAGGGCCCCTCTGCTGCTGTCTTGTCTTTCAGGTAGTGATTCAGGCCAGGAAGAGGAGTAAAACTATAACCAGCCTATGTCCTAGCTATTAGTATATCCATTGTGAAGTACTTAAAAATTGTCACTTGGATAAAAAAAGACTTTCTGGCAACTGTCTGAAAGATTTTCCCAGTACACTGATTTTTATTTTACTTTTCCCAATACACTGAGAATAATATGAATTTCAACCATACCTCTTAGCTCCCCCAGCATCAGGTGAGACAATAGTACAGTTCCTCCACTCAGAGATGTTCTCCCTTATCCACTTCAGGACAGCTGGCTCTGCATACAAATTGTCCACAGGGATATCAAAAAAACCCTGTAGAAAGGAGCTAGGTCAGTTTTGCTTCATTTTCCTTCTCTTCCATTTATTTATTTACTTTTATTGAATGAATTTGACATGTAACATTGTGTGAGTCTAAGGTATACCCTTCTCTTTCATTTGTGAATGACTAACAAAGAGAATAGTGACTTGCCCAAAGAATACCTTACTGGAACATTCAGACTGATTAGAAGGTATGCTCAGTGTAGGCGACTGTACAAATGGCCTCTTTGGATCCAGGTTGTGCAAGAGAGCCCAGCCACAATGAGCAAAGCTAGCCCTCAGCTAACCCACAACTGATCATAGGTACATGAGTGAGCCCTTGGGAAAAAATGGCTAAGTTCAGCTGAGACCAGAACTACCCAGCCAATGTGCATAACTCATGAGATAATAAAATCTACTGCTTTATGCTAAGGAACAAAAGCGAACCGGTAAACCATTTAGAGATGGTATAGTATATAAACTTAGTAGAAGGTATTTATAATAAGTTGTCACAGAAAGTACCTAGAAGCCATATCTATGTTCTAATATTAGTTGCCACAGATTAGTTGTGTTGTTCAACTAATTTGTTCCTCTTCTACAAAATGGGTATAATCATCTGTCCTATATACCTCACTGGATTGCCATAAGCCTCTAATTACAATAATTTGAAAGTCTCTTTAAAAAGTATAAAAAGTGGATGGAAGATATAAGGGGACTAAATGGTAATGGAAAAAATACAATGAAGATTATATATTTAAAAAAGAAAAAGAAAAAATAAATAAATAACAAGTATACACATAAGGTAGTATTCTGCTACCCTTACTCTGGGTTTAGGCTAGAAAATAGGTTCCAATATCTGCGGCTCTAAATTTAATGATGACAATAATAACTCCCACTTATTTGGTAACTGTCACAAGCAGGCATTGTACTACGAATTTAACATATTACTTAAGAATCACAATAGCAAAGCAGTGTATATTCAGAGAAATTAAATAACCTGCCCAACGTTATAAAAGTAGTGTCAGAGCCAGTATTCCAACTAGGTCTGATCCCAAAGCCTCTCTTCCCAGAATACATGACTGCCTCCCTTTCCAATGACCCCAAGTGACTAAGAACATGAACTAAGTTCAATATGAGAATGTTTAAAGTATTGTCAATATCTAGTTTATTTGAGCTGTACTTAGAGAATATTTTGCTCTCTGTGGTCTTCAGCATTATCAGTCCTCTTCCCCTTCTAACCCCTAAAAACCTAAACTAATGTTTAGCTTCCATTGATACCTGAATTTGAGAAGCATGAAGGTCCATGGTGATAATATGATCTGCACCTGCTACGGAAAGCATATTTGCAACAAGTTTGGCTGAGATTGGAGCCCGGCTCTAAATGGAGGAGACACACACACACAAAAAAAGCCAATTTCAGAAGCAATTCATTTGCACAAAAAGCATTTATTTACTGGGTGCCTACTATATTTAAGGCACTCACCTACCAGGAAATTCAAAGAAAGTGACATGGCCACTGACTTCAAGTAGATCACAATATAGCACAAATATTAAGCGGAATGTCACTTTTCCGATTTGGGATACATGTTACATGACAGGAAACACCTTCCTACCTTTCATTTTCTTATCGCACATATTTTCAACCTAGTCGAGTGTTTCCAATGCTCAATTTAAATTAGGCAGATTTAATGTTCTTTGAGACATTGTTATTAAAATCTCTTAACACATACATACTCAAACCTGTATAACATCTAACATGTCATGCTATAGTTTACTTTGTAAATTATACTACTCCCTTACTCATCTAAATGTCAACCTTCCAGCAACCTCAACCCATTAAATAACAGGTACATACATCTGCTGCACTGTAAAATGGCAAAGCCCATGCCCTTTACTCTATACTCTGTAGGAGCACTATACTCTATTGCAGGGGTGTCAAACTCCTTCTCACCAGGGACCACATCAGCCTTGAGGTTGCATTCAAAGGGCTGAAATAATTTTAGGACTATGTAAATGTAACTACTCCTTAACTGTTCAGGTGTTGAAATTATGTTCAGCCCTTTAAAGGCAACTGTGAGGCTGATGTGGCCACCAGTGAAAATGAGTTTGACACCCCTGCTCTATTGGAATAAAAATATTTGGCCTTTCCCATGCATTGTATGTAAAAATTTTGGGAACTGATTATAATAGACAAAACAGACCTGCAAAGTTTTATGTATATACCTGATTCCCTAATATACCAGATAAATAAGGCAAGGGGTATGTGTGTGTGTAATGAGAACAGACTTCAATTTTATGAAAACATCACAACTATAACACCAGAAGGGTCTCAGAGGATCTATAATAGTTTAAAAAAATTTCTACTTCATGGGAGCTGGTGCTTAGTCTTACTGATACAACTAAGTAATAGCAATGAACTAACCAAAAGTCACATATGATGACTGGAACAAAACATACATACTACAAATGTGTTGCTTTATACAAACCAATCACATGTCAATTGTTTTAAACATCAGATAATGCCTAAAAGAATGTGATTTTAAAATATCCTCTAAATACATATCTGACAATTGAGGAAAATTTTTTGGAACTTTGGGCAAGTGCTCATGCTTCCCCTGACTAAAATCATTTTTTTTAGTTAAGGAGATTCTCCTCCTACCTTATCCTTCTTATCCTGCCGGGCATAAGGAAAGCATGGGATGACTGCAGTAACCCGGCTAGCTGAAGCAATCTTACAGGCATTAATCATGATCAAAAGCTCCATTAGATTGTCGTTAATTTCGCCACAGCCACTCTGAACAATGTAGACATCCTCTCCACGTACACTTTCACCAATTTCAACACTAAAACCAGAAAAGGACAACAAAAACAATATATCTTAAAGCATCATACTTCTACAGACAGTAAGATCTAAAAAGCATAGCTTTCTACTAGTATGTGAACACCGAACACCTCAAACTTCAGGAGATCACCTGGAGGGGCCCTTGTAACAGAAGCAGTTTACTACCTCAGTTTACTCCACTGCACTATACAAATATTACCTATTTTTACATGGGACATGATATGAAAAAGACTGGCTAAAGTACTCACAAGTAACTGAACCATAATTTTATTTCTGGTACAAGACATGTGAATGCAAATTTGATCTTAATTAATGTATCCTTCATTTCTGATTGGATCTTTCTTATGCTGCTGAGGTCCTCACTAAGTTCCTTAGGCATCTTTATAACCAGTGCTTTGAATTCTGCATCTAATAGGTTGCTTATTTCCATTTCATTTAGCTCTTTTTCTGGAGTTTTGATGTTTTTTCACTTGGGCCATGTTCACCTCCTCATTTGGGCAGCCTCTCCCTGTCTTTGTTTTTATGTATTAGGTAGAGCTGCTTTGACCCCATGTTTTGGTAGTATAGCTTCATGTACTAGGTGTTCTGTAGGGTCCAGTGGCATAGCCTCCCCTATCATCTAAGCTGAGTACTCTAGGCATGCCCTTCATGTGGGCTGAGTATACCCTCCTCTTGTAGTTGAGCCTTGGTTGCTGTTGGCAAATCAATAGGAGGGATTTACCCAGGCCAGTCAGCTCCAAGGACTGGCTGGGACCACTGACCACCAACCTCAGTCCTCCAGGGAGGATCAGCTGTGCAAGGGCAGGGTGGTGGTGCTCCACTGTGGTCTCTGGCTGTCCACTGGGTACACAGGCTCTGAGGTTTCCTAGGTGGTGCTGGCCAAGGTCAGCCCCACCTTTGTTTTCCCCAGGACCATCCTGCCTGAGATATAAAGCAGTCTGAGAGGGCTGCTGCTAGTCCTGGGACTGGGGCTCACTGAGGCTAGCTGTTGCGTATTTGATAGGATTTAGGAAGTTGTGAACCAAGAGCCAAGACCAGCTATTCATATGGAAAAGCAGCTGGGGTGGGCCCAAAGTTGGGTGGGGTGGAGTCTCCGGAGATCTCCAAGGTGGGTCAAACAGTGTGAGCCAAGTTGATGGAGTCCCAGCTATGGCACCAGCTTGCTGGCTCTGTGGGGAGGGTTTAGAAAAGGGACAATGGTGTCTGCTTGCCTTGATGCCAGACACTTCAGCTTCTCCCTGTATACCACTCATGCTTTTCAAGCTACCACTCTGGTGCTGGCCCAGAGTGAGTGAGCTCAGAAGGAGTGAGTCTGAGTAGAGGAGTTTGTGTGTGTGTTCTTTAAGAGCAACTGCTTGGAGCTCCAGCTGTTTCTTCCACTGACTCAATCCCTGCTGGTTTTTGCAGCCAGAAGTTGTGGAGACTTATCTTCCTGGCACTGGAACCCTTGACTAGGGGGCCTGGTGTGGGGCTGGGACTCCTCACTCCCAAGATTTCTCTCCCGAATTTTTATCCACCACACCTGGGAGAGGGACCAGTTCATTCCGCATCTGCACCCTTCCTACCAGTCTGGATGGATGTGGTTTCTTTCATTCCATAGTTGTCAGACTGCCATTCAATTTGATTTCTGATGGTTCTGAGTGATGGTTGTTCTATATTTTAGTTGTAATTTTGATGTGGTAGTACAAAGAGGTGAACCATGTCTGCCCACACCTCCATACTGACTGGAAGTTCATGAACGCAAATTTGATATAACACCTGTGACTATCACAATCCATATATAATAAAAGTAGAAAGATCATAAGGACTGAATCACTACTATTCCATAAAGATGCCTTCTACAGCAGACAGTACCAAATCTACCATATTGGCCAGTTCACTCAACAAATATAAATTGTTCCATTGTCAGTCACTGTGCTAGGTGCCAGGGACACAACAGAGAATAAAATACATGTGGTTCTTGCCATCATTCTATGCTAACTCTACTATGGTCCAATCTTGTTTTAAAAATCCCACAGGAAGTTACTCTAACTATAGGGTAGGGCTATCTTTTACCATAAAATGAAAAAAATTAATATCTATACTTGGATCCTTACCAATAATAACTTATGATTTAAAAATAATAATCTCATCCCTGGCTGGTGTGGCTCAGTGGATTGAGCACCAGCCCGCAAACCAAAGGGTCACTGGTTCAATTTACCAGTCAGGGCACATGCCTGAGTTTCAGGCCAGGTCAGGTCCCCCGTAGGTGATGCATGAGAGGCAACCACATATCAATGTTTCTCTCCTTCTCTTCCTCCCTTCCCCTCAGTATAAAATAAATAAATAAAATCTTAAAAAAAATAAAAACAATAACCTCAGCAACACCTCAAAACATCATTTTCCCTATTAATCCTCTAGGTGGAGGTGTTTGTGGGTGCATATTTGGGTATCTGTGCGTAGTACATGTAGACAAGGCATAAATCAGAATGGTTGATGCCACCTATTGATCAAGAAAAAAACTTCAACAGGAGATCATTTCATTGCCAGAAGAAGCTAATGTAGGTGATAATTACTATTTAATATCACTTCTTTCCAATCCCAGTAACAATGGAAAGGATCCTACCTCTAGAAAGAATGGTGTTAGTTTATATAGTAAAGCAAGAAAAATAAAAGCAAAATGTAAAAAAAATCAAACCAGAAACAAATCACCAAAATGTCTTATCACCTTATTTTTTTATTTTTATGTTTACAGAGAGGGGAAGGGAGCAGAGTAAGAAAGGGACAGAAACATCAATGGGTGAGAGATATGATGTGGGAGAGATATATTGATCAGTTGCCTCTCAAGTGCCCTCAACCAGGGTCCTGGCCTGCAACCCAGGCATGTGCCCTACCTTAGTATCAAACCAGTGACCAAAGGTCCACAGGCCACACCCAACCCACTGAGCTACACCAGCCAGGGCTTATCACCTTATTTTTTATGCAATTGTTTATTGTCTGTGTCCTCCACCAGAAGGCAAGCTCCATGAAGGCAGGGACCAGATCTGTGATGCTCATCTATATATCCAGCCAGCCAGTGTCAGTATGACACAAAGAATGAATGAATGAATGACCCTCAGGATTAGGTTGCCTCTTGGATCCACTCACTTTAGACAGAATATGAACCTTCTGCAAGCTTGCTTATTATGAAAGTTCAAGACTGACTTTTGTTGTCCCTCAAAAAGTAACCCACTTCACACTAGAGACAAGTGGGTCCAACATATTTCTTCAAAAGGCTTTGATATGTCTGCTCATATCACTTTACAGATACTCAACTGATACTTAATTTTGGGTAGAACTACAATTTGATGGGCCCAACAGGATGTGATAGCTATAAAGAATTTTATGGTGGGATCCTGCAATAGTGATACTGAGCAATGTAATGAATACAACAATTTTGTGGACCTAGCTGAGTTGACATCTATTTACTATCAATATCAGCCTTAAGAAGCAACTGAATATGTCAGCAATCTCAACTAAGCCAAATGCCAAAATTGATTTCTGAAGACATTATTCAAAATTCAAATTGATGGCAGCAGGAAACTAGGGAAGGTTTTCTGGAAAAGCAACTTGCATGTTCCCCAAATTGTAGGTCCTAGAATGGCACCATCCAAAATAGCAGACACTGACCTCATGGGATTATTGAGAACATGAAATGTGGCTAGTATGACTGAAGAATTGATTTGAGAGGTGCTGTAAGTATAAAATACATGCCTTACTGTGAAGACATTATATACAAAAGTAAAAATATATTATCAGTTTTTGTATTGATTACATGTTAAAATTTTAATATTTTGAGTATACTGGGATAATATATTAAAATTTTAAAAAACACAAATAGAACTAAATAATACTTCCTGGAGGTGAGCCTGTTCTGGAAGATGAGCATTGTGCTAGGCCCAAACAAGAGGCAGTGGTAGTTCAAAGGGACTTCTCCAGTCTCCTTTACTTTACTAACACTCCATGCTCTTTGAGAGGTTCTAGGCTGAAAGAGTCCCTTTCACAACTCTAGGGTCCTAACCTAGTACTTCAAGTATTTGAACAACTTCAAAATTCAAGAAATTTTTAATCCCATCCACAATCATCCCCCATACCTCACCTCCTTGATGAAAATCTCCACTTCCCTGGGGGAGAACAAAAGTCAGGCACATTAATTTCACAGAAGTCAACTGTGTTCTTGACATCTGTTTTTGGGAGCCTATGGCTCTTGTTTCAGTCAAGTATACAGACATCTGAGCTCCAGACAGTCACTTGCCAGAATCAAATTGTTTGCTTAAGAGCAAGGGAACAGCAGTTTGACAATTGATCCAATATGTATTAGGGATGAGCTAATGAGCTATTCTAAAGTTTTCTTATTTTCAAGACCAGAAAACAACATGCTTAGACCATGACAGCTTATCTCTCTTTACAAATGTGTCAACTATCAGAGCCAATATAAAAAATACCACAACACTGCTTATATTGTCCATTACGTTACTCAGTATCATTACTTAAGGATCCTACCCATAGAATTCTTAGAATTTTGTGCCTGGAAGTATCTAAAGAGTTTTATGAATATAAAAACTACATAATCAGTTGCATATAGCTTTATCCCTTTGGCTGCCAGGGAGGCAAGGAATAAAGTTAAAGTAACACCAAATTTCTGTCATCACTTTATGCCAGATTCTTGGCACAATTACTACTGTCCTTTGTTCTATAAGGCAGGGGTGTCAAACTCATTTTCACCAGGGGCCACATCAGCTTCACAGTTGCCCTCAAAGGGCCAAATGTAATTTCGACTCCGTAACAGTTAAGGAGTAGTTACACAGTCCTAAAATTATTTCAGCCCTTTGAAGACAACTGCCAGGCTGATGTGGCCTCTGGTGAAAATCAGTTTGACACCCCTGCTATAAGGGTTCTGATGTATCTACTTATGTTGACTCTCATGAAACACACTTCAAATCCTTTCTTGAATGCTGGTAAAGTATTAAAATGACCACTGCCAAGTTAAATATCAGAGAGCATTTGCTAAATATATAGCTTTGACAGAGGTGATTCCTTTAACAATTATATTCCAACAGCACATAAGGTTTGAAAATAATCCTTAAAATAATCACCAGCTCACCACCAACACAATCACTAGTACCATTTTGGTGTCTTTATTTGATGATAACCAACAGTTAAGCCATTCCCCAAAGCTAAACTAAGGACTAAAACTTCCCCTCATGCATAGAAGGATGTTATGACCAGGAATGCATCAATAACTTTAAAAAGTTACTTAACTATATTCAAAATAAAGGGGTGCAAGGAAACTAGGACACTGCCTGTTTTACTGTGCGTAACTCTTAATTTCACTAATGAAGACCAAAATCTCTTTCCTCCATGAGTATTATAGGGTTCAAGACTTTCATAAAGCCTTATAAAGCTCATAAACTACACCCAGACTATACAGTCTGGTCAATAAATAGTTCAATGAATCCTCAAAATTATGGTTTCCTCTAAGTCTGAGAGACAAGTTAGGCAATGATGGTACAACAGTTGTGCCTAAAACCTGTTTGCTCTTAACATAAACTATAGTATACAACTCTAGGGTCCAAGTGGGAAGACCTGGTTTAGCAATTTAAAGACATGCCTTGTTCTTTCCCTCTAGCTAATGGTGTGTTCTCCAAATGTCTTTGGGCCAATCTTTCTCTCAGCTGTTCTGGAGAGGCCAGATGACTGGCTATGTCCATCCAATGAGAAAACTAGCTTCTTCTTCACCCTGTCCTTTACCATCAGGCATAAGTGCATCCAAAGAGCACAGAATGTTAAGAAGCACAAAAAGGAAATAAAGTGAATCTAAAAAAGCAGGTGGTATTAAGAAAATCTCAAGAATTTAGACAGAGATGTTGGAATGTGCAAAAATACATGGGGTTAACTAAAGTATATAGTTCTTAGGAAAATCCTAGGCAACCAAAAATAAAAATTTTCCCATCTCTGCCTATCCAGAATAACCAAATAAGCCAAGGTTTAATGAGAATCAAGTCAAAAATTTTAATATATTCAAGTTTTAAAAACCAGATGAGATATTGTATTAGCAAAAATTTTAAAGAAAAAATAACACCCAGAATTGGACAAGTTACTTAATCTATGAATCTTAGTTCCTTCATTCACAAAACAGGGATAATAAGTTAACTCCTCATAGCGGTGTTAAGAGGATTAAATATGACATGTGCATAAAGAGCTTAGCATTGGAGCTAGCACATTTCAAGTACTCACTACATATTCATTATTATCAATATTATTATTACTACTGGTGAAAGTAGAAATTGGTTCAACTTATCTGGAGGGCAATTTGGCAATAGTTGCCAAAAAAAAGTTGGCAATTCAAAAGCCTAAAAATGGTATATACCCTTTAACCTAGTAACTTCCCTTATAGGGATTTACCCCAAGAAAGTAATCAGAAATGGTCAAAGCTTTATGTTCAAGGGTCTTCATATTAAAAGCATTAGATCAAAACTGTAAATACCTAATAGGGACTTGGTTATCTAAAATTATGGTAAAACCCTAAGACAAACTATACTGTTTAAAGCCATGTAGACTAAATATTAAGGGGAGAAACTATTCAAAATATATTGCTAAGTGAAGAAAGCTATGTGTCTTATATTTTTGAAAAAGCATATAAACACACACAAATATCTGGAAGGTCATACATCAAAAAGTGAACAGTTTGTCTTGGGTGGTAGAATTTGGGGGGATGTCTTTTTACTCAACATCCTCTTCTATATTTTTCACATTTTCTGCAATACTATCACCACCCCTTCTTACCAACATTTACTGTGTTGGACAAGGTTCTAAGAACTTCAGTCCTATCTCAATCCTCACAATAACTCTATGGGTAGATACTACTTTACAGACCAGATTATTGAGGTAAAAAGAAAAGGCTAAGGATTCAAGTCCAGGTTCTCTGAGTCAAGGGCCTAAGGTTTAACCTCTCTTAAGTATTTGTGTGTGTGATATACTACCTATATGTATGCATATTTCTTCAATAACTAGACAGCAACGGATGATCCTGACTTCAGAAAAAAAGCCACTCTGCTCAAGACAGCATCAACCCCTGAGATTCTGTGAAAATGCAGAAAATATCAAAACTCTCTATCTCACTTGAGGATGGGCTCTTCAGTTCCCCATCTGATGACCCACAGCACCCACTGAACTGCCCTGCCCATGACCTTTAGATCCCAAGAGTCACACACGGCTGCAGTTGTCATTTCTGCAGTGTGAAAAAGCCAAAGGTGCCCTGGCTGGTGTGGCTGAGTGGACTGAGTGCCGGGCTGTGAACCAAAGGGTCACCAGTTCGATTTCCAGTCAGGGCACATGCCTGGGTTGTGGGCCAGGTCCCTGGTTGGGGGCACTGGAGAGGCAACCACACATTGATGTTTCTCTCCCTCTCCTTCTGCCTCCCTTCCCCTCTCTAAAAATAAATAAATAAATACATACATAATACATAAATAAATAAAATCTTAAAAAAAAAAGCCAAAGGTTGGTTGGGGGGGGAGCTCCATAGGCAACATAATTCGATTATTTTCAATGAGGATTTCAGAACATCTAAGAAACCAAAAAGCTAATAATTAAGCCAGAAACAAGAGAGACCTAAACTGTCAGCAATTTTCCACATTGGACTTAATCTTATCCAATGTTTCCACACATGTTACTGACCAGTTGTTTAAAAATGAAATCAGCTCTGACTGGTGTGGTTTGGTGGATTTAACGCTAGCCTGTGAACCAAAAGGTTGCTGGTTCCTGGTCAGAGCACATGCCTGGGTTGCAGGCCAGGTGCCCAGTTGGGGGTATGCAAAAGGCAATAGTAGATGTTTCTCTCTCTCTTTCCCCCTCCCCCATCTCTGAAAATAAATAAATAAAATCTTTTAAAAAATAAAAATGAAATCAGTCTTACATCTCAGAAAAGTAGACTGGGATTGCTGATAAATTCAGATAAATCAATAAGTAGAAAATGAAGTTGTTCTCTCCCTCCCCTCTCCCAATATAGCCTCAAGTTCTGGTGTGTTGCATTATGCAGAGGGTGAAGTCTTAACACAAGGAAAATAAAGTCTCTGTATTTTTCCTACAAGCACAGGAAAAGGATTTAATAACCAAAGTTCTATAAGGGGACCAAAACAAAACAAAACAAAACAAAACAAAACCTCTAAGTGAAAATCATTCTTGTCCCCTAGCTATACTGCCACTTGGAAAGTCTGGTCATATTTTGTCTTCTTTATCACAGCCCATGAGTCATAATGGTGTGGTCAAAGCTAAAGACAGCACCTTGGCTAGCCTCTTTTGACTAAGGTATTGTGTGGTTACAGATGGCATCAGTGTTCACACTATCATCTGTATCACAACCAGTGGCACAATAATCAAGCATTCAGAAGGAAGCTGTCCACTACAGATGCATGCTTTTATCAGTAGGGTCTGCAAACAAAGTATAACAACTTTGGTAATAAGTTTAAAGAAAGAAAAATGGAAATAAAAGCATTTAGGAAAACATGTTCAAAACAATGTTATTTAACTAATTATTAGGTATGGTGTAAACTTTCCCCTAATAGATTGACTGAAAGACTGTGAGTATTGCTCTGATTGATCATCAGGGTAACAACAAAACACAAAGTAGGTTATCAGAACCAGATGATTCTACCTTTAGGTGGAAGGGGAATGGAAAGGCTAAGACACCAAGTTATCTCTAAGATGGCCTCAAGGTGCAGGAGGAGGATGGAAGGGGGGAAGGAGCAAGTTTAATTAATTAGCAAGGCAATGAAAAAAATCGAGTTGCGACGCACTATTTGACCCATGTCTTTCACTCTATTACCTTGCCTCAATTATCTTAACTTTCGAAACTGTTGAGTAAATTTCCCACAATGCCAAGAGAAGTGGACAAGTGCAGGATAGACTTTGCTACAAAAAAATAAGCTTTTGGATTATCTGTACCAGTTGCTGCACTGTTGAAAGTCAACAATTCCAGGATTAAGTTTCCCTAAGATTTTCTGGATGGCTCAAACTGAGATGCTGGCAATCAGGATACAGAGTTAATGCATCAATCCCTACCCGATCAACTAGATTTAACATAAGTATGGCTCTGAGTCTAAGATTCTAAAGATGTGAAAAGCCAACGCTTGCCAATCTAAGGAAGTCCTCAGTAGTAATTTTGGCGCCTTCAGCACATGTTCATTTCCCTCAATACCAAAGCCAACACAATTTCGAATTTAAAAACTCCTTCTTAGATTCTAGAAGAAACACCAGAAGGGTTCAGTACGTTCTCCCACTCAAGATGGTCCAAGATGTGAACAGGCGGGCACTTGTCCAGCCTAGGTGGCTCAACGGCGAAGCGACAAAACCACGTGTCCCCACAGCCGAGGCGAAGCGCCTTTCCCCTCCCATCGCTTTGGGAAGCCACTATCCCTGAGCTAGGTCCTCCAGCCCTAAGCATTCAAACCCAGTAGCTTCCCTTAAACTCAATCTTGACTCCACTCCACCACATGGTGAGAACCAATGTAACCCTCCCGCCAGAGGTAAAATAACGGAAACAACCCGTGCAGCACTCTCGCCTCAGAGCTGACCCTTCCCCCAACACCCCGTCGCTCAGAGCTTACGAGGCAGCCCTTTTCCCTCGGCCGCCCTGCCGCCCAAGTATCGCTCCTGCCGCCTGGGCAGGTGAGGCCAGTTGGGGTCCCAACTTCGCCCTTACCAGGTCTCCTGGTTGCTGAATTTCTTAGTCACCACCTTGCCTAGCTCCAGGCCCAGGCGATCAGCAATTTTCTGGGACAAGTCCTGATGGGAGCTGCCGCTGAAGATTTTGATATTTGGCATCTTGGCCAACTACCCTAGGTACTCTTTGCTCAGCGATAACTGCTGCTGCTGAGACCCAAACCGAAGTCAGCCCGGAGACTCAGTACTAACCGATGCGCTTAGCTACTCCGCCATTTTACGTTCCCAACCCGCGCGGCTCTAAATTGCCCAGAGCCCTGGAGGCGGGGCCAGCAGGAGAGTCCACACCCCGCCCGCCCCGATTAGCTGAGAGGCAGAGAGGGGCAGGTCCTCGCTGTAGCTCCACCTACAACCAATACACTTCGGATATTAGCTGGAAGCCATGAAAGGGGAGGGGCTAAGAAATAGCTCCGCCTACTTTAGCTTGGCATTAGCGGAAAGATTGCTAAAAAGCGCCCTAACGTTCTGTGCTAGAATTGGGTGGAAGAATGCTAGTGACGTGTAAGTATAGGTCTTTCTGCAAGCGGGAAATGAGCCACGGTCTCCACCCCCCCCCTTCAGCACCAGAAAGTCAGTCTGGCTCGGGTTTACAGTTTTTGTTTTTGTTTTTTGAGAAAATCTATTCATCAGGATGGCAGCTAGAGTTCGTCAGAATGAAAGGGAGATTTCTGAACAAGTTTGCATGTTCCTGAACATGAACGATTTTTATTTCTGTATATGGATGGGGCAGGATTAAAGCACATTTCCGTCACAGAGAGATACCCCTAGCACCGGCACATTCAATGGGTTTGTTTGCCCTTTGCAATTGCGGCAGTGTCGCCTTTGCCTGGAACACAAGTCTCCAGAGGAAAGTAACAGGGTACACTGCCTGAATAATACAGACACTGCACAAGAAAGCTGTTTCTTGTTTCTAACGTGTGGACGGAGTATAGTTTTCCAAAATATCTGGGCAATAATGGTCTGATTTACCTAACACTTGGAAAAGAGAAAATATAGTGTATTTATTGGACTTTTAGATAAAGAGCCCTGAATGATTCAAAGAACCTGGTTTTTGGTCCTACCTTTCTCCCTTAACCCCAACATCATCATCTGCAAATTGCTACTGTGGCCGTTTACACCATGCTGTATTATTTTCATGATATTTGCTAATTGGACCAAAGAGAGCTTTTATTCTTATACCATATTTTCATTAGGTATATTCCAACTGTGGGTTAGAAGTAAGAAAAAAGTACATTTCTAGCATTTTAGAATAAAAAATCATGCAACTTAATTTTATACAATTTTAGTTCTGAGCACCACATTCTTGGCTGCTCAGAAAGAGGCAGATTTGGCAACTCAGGCAGAAGCTGTCAAGAAGTGACCCATCCTGTACACTCCAGAATTTTGAAGGGAGCAGCTGGGAAGGGGACCATTGGGAAGGCTGTGCCAAAGAGAATAGAAGGTAATACCAACCTGACTATTATTTCCGTGACTTTAGATTATATATTTTTACATGTATTGATGTATCAAGATATCAAATGTAAATAAACATATTTTGTCATCCCCCCAAATAGAAGGAACTTCAGAATTCATCTAGTCTACTAGCTTCATTTTACATGTGGTAAAACTGGAACCCAGAGATGGGAAAGGGTTTGTCCAAGTGGCAAAGGCAGAAAATACTCAAAGCAGCAGCCTATCTTCCTCGTACTACCATTTTCAGTGGTGTCCATGGAGAAACTCTCTTCGTCATACTTTCACAAGTTCAAAAATTTAATGTAGTCCCAGGTGTATAGAATTACTTGGAGAAGGAAGTAAAGTGCAAGACAGAATATTCATTTATCAAATATTTACTGAATGCTTTATTACATCCAAGGCAGTGTGTTAGACATTGAGGGAACTATAAAGTGTTTGTCCCTAAGGAATTAGTTTGTTTAATATATATTTATTGGGTACTTTTAATGTGCCAGGCCCTGTTCTGTGCATAGAGGATACAGCAGTAAACAATCAAAAAACCCCTTTTCTCATGGAGTTCGAACTCTCAAACAACAAATATATAAATAAATAAAATATATAATCTCAAATGATGATAAGTGCTGTGGAGAAAAATCAGGCGAGGAAGTGGGATAATGTGCTAGGATGGTGATGGAGGGAAGCAGTATAATTTTAAGTAGGGTAGTTAGAGAAGGCCTATCTGGGAAGGTAACATTTAAGCAAAGACCTGAGGAAGAAAAAGGAATGAGCTATTAGATTATCTAATAATCAACTCATTAGATTAAAGCTAAGCATCCCTTTAGGGCAAACACTGGGAAATCTGATCCACAAACTCCCAGATGTATGTGTAAATAATCCTGTTATCCTTGTTCTTTTTTTTTCTCTCTCTAGATAGGTAACCAGTGGGGGAGGGGCTTACTTTTTAAGGGTAGGTGGGCCTTAGGCAATATCTACAGTTAGGTAGTCTTGAGTAATTTAGACAAAAACTGTTGCCAGACCTTTAAGGTTGGATGACCATGGACAAATTAGACCATTAGAAAACAGACAATGTGCATGGAGCAGGCATAAGGACCCTAAGAGGGGAATGTTTGAAAGGAGTGTGGATGAGTTATATGTAAATGGTGGAGTGTGTTCTGTAAGTTTGATGTAATTCAAAAGAAATGTGCTGAAATCCTTCTATATGGTAGGGCCTCTGGAGAGTGGGCACACCAGGGATGAATAGTACACAATTTTTTGCCCCTACCAGGCAAGACAGATACTTAGAGAAATAAGGTTAAGTATGGGGATGGGGTGTGAGAAATGCAATCAAGTTGAGGATTTGGAAGAGTCCTGCAGGGAATAGGCCTTGTAAGACTTAAGGACTACAACCTGGGGATAGAAAGTTTAAAGAATTTTAACAAAAACCCCAAGAGGAGGTGAGGTCCTCAAGGAAAGGTATGTTGAGGAGATGTTGAGAGCTCAAAATAGACATTGCCTGGTTGCCTCTCACAAGGCCCCAACTGGGAACCTGGCCCAAAACCCAGGCAGGTGCCCTGGCCAGGAATCAACTGCTAACCTTTCAGTTTGCAGACGGATGCTCAATCCACTAAGAAATCCCAGCTAATGATGGTCTATTTTATGTGTCAACTTGACTAGGCTGTCCAGGCTATTAAATCAAACACTAATCTAGGCATTGGCCATGAAAGTATTTTGCAGATGGGATTAACATTTATAATAGCTGTCTTTATGTAGAGGAGATTTTCCTAGATAATTTGGGTGGGTCTGATTCAATCAGTTGGAAGGGCTTAGAAGCTGAAATTTCCCTGAGGAAAAAGGAATTTCACTTATGAACTGCAATTTCAGCTGTTGCCAGATAATTCCAGCCTGCCCTTCCTGATGCCTTTTCCCGTGGATTTCAGACTTGCCTATCCAGCCCCCAAAATGGTGTAAGCCAATTCCTCACAATAAGTCCCTTAACGTACATCTCCTACAGGGTCTGTTTTTCTGGTTGATCCTGACCCACACAAAATCTGATTATGGAGAGCTTTGAATGCCATTTTCAGGGTGCTGAGGGCAAGGGCTAGAGTCTTGATGAGGGGAAATTTGATTCCTCAGCTGGAGAGAAAGGGAGTGGGAAAAGTACAAATTGTCTTGTTCTAGAAAAAGATGAAGAATGCCCTCTTGCCCATATTTCATATTTCCAATTACCTACAGAGCTCAGGGCCACTGGGAGAATTTTTAAAACACCCTCAACGTTGGAAGGGTTACCCTCACCCCCCTACCTCATAGGATAGTCTAAATTCATCCATTTGTTTAATCACTCATTTTTCCTATAGGCATTTCTAGGGCAGCAACTATGGGCACAGTGCTCAGCCTTCAGATTATAAGAGTGAATAAAACATGGCCCTTTTCCTCAAAAAGCTTTACAGACTTGTAAATGACTACCAGAACAGAAGAGAAAGAAGTCTTCCTTCTCTCTTCCCACTCCATGCAGCTCTAGAAAGTACAATAGTTGCAGCAAAATCTCCCTTTGCTGGGCCTGTCACTTCAATCCCAGTGCAGTGGGCTTCTTCTAGCATCACCTTTAACTGGCTGTACCTCTTTGTCATCTTCAGACAACTTTTCCTGCTCCTTCTGGATATTAACATTTTTTAAGACATTTTCTCTTTTCAGTCTCCTGCCTATGTCTGAGTTTTCCCTCTCCAAGCTTGTGTGACCTGTCCTCATTGTTCATAGCCCAACCTTCACTTTTTCAGCCAACAGGAGTTCAATGCCAAAGTGATTGTGGGTGTCTCACTTTTGTAAGCATATCAGAGGCATTTCAAAGGCCACCACAAAATGCATCACATTTGTAGAGACTGCCTGATGTACTGCAGCCCACATCCAGCTCACCAGCTCAGTTGTCCCTTCCATTGGGCCCTTGATTGCCAAAATCATGTTCTCTGTCTTCAGCAAGCATGTAAGCTCTTTTGAGGGTAGAGACCAGTTATCTGCCTCCTCCACCCTCTAGCACAGACCCAGCCTTGGAGTAGATGCATTTTACATGCTTAAGGATTTGACTTGAAATCTGGATTGACACTGAAGATGAATTAGGAGGTGAGTCAATGGCTTTTGAAAAGGATTCAGCTTTCCTTTGAAAGAGCAAAGGACACATATGTAAGTCATGATTTTATTAACATAACTGTATTTTATGACAAGTCCTGTTTCAGAAGATTTATCTAAGAAAGAAAAAGTTTGCTTCTTTTACCTTAATAAGCAAGAAGTAGCTGAACTCTTTGGATATATTTCATTTTTCTAGGGCTCCCATGAGTTGGTTTCCTGTGAATGTAGACTACTGTACAAGGTCAGTGTCCCAGGGGGCTAGAATCATCTAGGAATTTAAGAGATGGCAGATTTCAGCCTCACCTCCCCCCACCCCTACAGAAGGGAATTAGATGAAAACTGCTGGGCCAGGTGGACTTTTTGGTTTGTTCTGGTGTTTAACTTTCATGAGCTGGTGAGTTCTCCCAGTTTAATTACTGACTGAGTAGTATTTGGGTGATGATAAAACTACTTGCCTATGTTTAAAAAATCCTTAAAGAATGTAAAGAAAATGTGCCTTTAAAAAAAGCTAATAGGCCCTCTAGTTCAACCCAATCATTTTATGTAGCAAGAAACTGATTCTCAGAGAGGGGAAATGAATGCTCCAGGTCATACAGCTACAGCTAGTTCTTGGAAGAGCTGCAAGTAGAACAAAAACCCTTGTGTAGGGCTTATGCTTGCAGCTTTGTTACAGAGCCAAGCTAGCATGGGCTCA